ACCTACACCTGCGCCACCATTACCGACCAAAGCAGTCACAGAAGGACCAAGTAGGACATATTCTGCACCGTCAGTGACTGAGACAGAAGGTTTAAGTACAGTACCTGTAATGACTGTCAAGCCTAGCCCATCAATGTCAAAAACAGCTGTTCCGAGCCGTGTGTATGTCACACCAACTGATGAATCCACGCAAGTTATAATCACCCCAACACCCACACCTCCACATGTGACTAAAAAACCGGTTGTACCCATCAAACCATTATATCCATCCAAGGAACCGCCACGTACAGCACTTCCTGGTCCTACACAGAAACCAAATCAAAAACCCCAGTTGATGAATCACATTGATAGGGTATATGCATATGAAGGTGAAATGCTGGTCTATAGAGTTCCTGAAGATACATTCTATGATGAAGAAGACGGAAGTACAAGAAACTTGAAATTAATGTTACTATCCATTGATGGTGGAATACTGCATAAAATGTCATGGATCCAATTTGACAGCTCCTCACAAACTATTTATGGTTTGCCAATGGCTGAACAAGCTGGGAAGCATGAATATGTCATGACAGCTATAGATAGTTTTGGTGATATCGCCAGGGATGCATTTGAAGTGGTAGTTGTTGCAAGTGTGAACAAGCCAAACCATGAATTTAGCATCACATTATCAAACGATTATGAAGAATTTGAAAATGATGTGCATAAAAAGTTGGATTTGATTGATAGAATCGCGAAGCTTTATGGAGACGATTCTGCTGATACGATTTCCATTTCATATTTCAAAAAAGGTTCAACTATTTTTGGCTGGAGTAACAACACCTTACCACAAGAGCCATGCCCTGAAACAAAGATAGGTGAACTCACTAAGTTAATACGTGATACTAGCAATGGAATTGAAGGTGAACCCAGTCAAGCTTTGAAAGATGCATTGGCACCGGAATATGAAGTTGTGAATATTGGATTCAAACCTCTTGGTTCCTGTACTGATGGATACTCTGAGGGGACAACAGCTGATCCAAGTGGTCCTGATGCTGCTGAATCAGCAAAGTCCACTTCGGAAGATGATATTTGGTTGATTACAATTGTACCTGCTGTTATTTTCGCGGTAGTAGTACTTATAGGTGGACTGATAGCATTCTGTTTGTATCGTAGATGCCGCAAAGGGAAACTCTCTGATGAAGATAAACATACTTTCATCAGTAAAGGCATACCAATCATATTTGCTAATGAACTTGATGAAAATGACAAACCTCCTTCTTCAAAGACTCCCTTGATTATGAAGGACGAAAAACCCCCGCTACCACCGGAATATCCCGGTAAATCATCTCCTACGACGCAGCCTTTGCTTTCACATGCACCATCTTCAAAGGGGGATGATATTGATGAGGAGGAGGATCCTCCGTACGAACCGCCACCGCCCTTTTCTTCATCACCAGACAGCCGCCAATCAACTCCAAGATACACACCAGCATATAGGTCTCCTCCACCATACGTCCCTCCCTAATGAAGACCATACCATATGCGGCTGCTTTCAAATCCAAAACTTGCAAAAACAACATATGCTGGAATACTTGTGCCAATCGTTGTCTGATTTCATCTAAAATTAAATAAGTGTTGATAACCTAACCCTGCTATGATGGGAGAAATCCATTGAAACTCACTAAACATTATTAAGGTCATTGTATATCAAACCATTTCTATACTATACAGTCAGCACCACCTACATCATCATCTTATTGTAATAACATTACTTTAATGCCCAACCAGTCAGTCATATATCAACCAACTTAATCAGTATGTGGACCAAAATTATATAAAACTGGAGTTGTATACTGTATTTTGTATACTGCATATTCCCAGATGGCTATTTTCCATAATTACCACAGTAATTTATTTATAATAAATTTCTTTAGCTGTTTGTAGTTTAAATATGTTAAATTTGTTTGACCAGTGTGTTCAGATCATTGTGTCCATTTATATACCTCAAACTGGGTCAGTGGAAATATGTTTTATTATTATATTGTGAGTTGTATTTACTCTAAGTAATGAATAAATTCATCCCCAAATCTACCTCTGGTATGCAAGGTCAGAGACAAGTAGGCACCTCCTCCTCAATTCGTTCAGGTTTATATTTGTTTCCATTTGTTCGCACATTACCACTCTGTACTACAAATATATTTTTACAGTTTCACACCAATCCATATTTATTTGATCGATTCATGTAATCTTGTTTTGATTGCCATCTGGGTGAAAATGGTTTGAACTGAAAAACAATATACTGATCTAAAATAGATTATTATTGAGATAATCAGTAAACTATGAGTTAATACTTGTTATATCGTGACTATAAACAAATGATTGGTTCATAGTTATTATATTGAAATGCAATAGTGAAAATATTAAAAAAAAAGTGTTATGATGAACAGACTTTAAGGTAACCTGGATGTACCTGTAAGCAGCTTTGAAGATGCCTTCCAAAGTGATTTTTATAAGTGCCATATTTTATATTCATTATTAATGTTACCTGTAATATAGCTAAATAATGTCTTGAGAATGCAGAACAGTAATCCAAACAATAATTTGATTTCATTTTAACAATTGTTAATACAAATTATTTTTGTTATCATCATCTCTATTTTCTGAGCAAACGTTGACGATTATGTTTTTAGCTCCGCTGTCGACTTTGTCGAGCGGAGCTTATCATATGAGTGATTGTCTGTCGTCGTCGTCCGTGTCAATGTTTTACTTTTTTGACTTCTTCTTGAAAACTACAAGCCTGAATGCTTTGATACTTGGTGTATATGTACCTTGGGTAGACCTCTCTTAGGAATTTGTTCATTTCATGTTGATATCTTCAATTCTCTAATTTTGGTGAATATTTTT